GATGACCTCTCGAGGTCCCTTCCAGTCCTAGAATCTAAGAATCTATGAATTTTCAAATGACTCTACGTATCCAGGTTCCCTCAATTCTTCTTGAACAGAAAGTTACATCCAAAGAGATTGCTAAATTCCTGGAAAACTTGGGCCAGTCTGTGATCTCAGTTACGCTGGGGTAAATCTAGAGTAACTCCAGATTCACCCTGGTGTAGCAGAACAGAATCTGGCCCCGTGTGCTTAATCCCTTCCATTCTGCGTGATCCACAATAGGAATCTGAGTGGATGGCTTACCTGTTCCTGTTTGGTGTTAACGATAACCAGGTGAGACCCTTCATTGGTACAGAACTGCTTAGCGTCCAACCAGGATTTAGTCGATGTTGAAAAGAGGTAGCAATTTTTCTCAAAATGCTGCCAGCCAGGTGGACATTTTGTGCAGATGACTTCTGTGAGAAGTAAAATTATGGGACAAGCCTGCATCAGAGAGTCAAAATGCAGTCTAACTGAAGTGTAAAAACTCATCCGTGTCCCCATACTTATTTACTTCTGACATTCTCACTGGCTTCAAGCAAATAATTTGCACTGAATTTGTGTATTCATGGAAATTGGATACTTTTTCCTTCCACCAGGTGCTCATTCATCCGCTGTGGGATGGTTTTATAAGTTACATGGCATTCTCACCCCTCTGATATATGGAAGCAGATGGCAGGGCCTGGTAGATCTGTTTCCCATTGAAAAATGAATCACTGAGTTAATATTTTCCTAATATAACTTGTTGATTTCTGCTGGGTGCACCTGTCCTGGACAAGAGGCACCCATAAATCAAATACAATCTCTGATCTCAGCCCAGACACCGATGCCCAGTTTACTGGGTACAACTCTGCCCCAATACCTGAGCCTATTTAGAGAGTCAGGCAGGGAGCAAACTCCCTTGCTAATTGCAACAGCTGCCCCCCCAAAATAACACAGCCTGAAACCAACAACACAGCATGTCTTCGAAGACTGAATACCGCTGACATGCTTGGAAAGAGCTCTTGCAAGCTGATGTACAACGGCACCATCTGATGGCTTCTGCCATACAGTATTGTATCCATCCCATGTTAGGCTTCATTATCTATTTAGCCAAATTATCAGTTGTGTCCATTTCCGTTACACGTAGATGTGGTCAGTTTTCATGCATAGGGAACTGCGCAGGCCATAGGCCTATTGGGAACCTGAAAGTTGAATGCCCTGTTCCCTGTTGGCTTTCACTGACGCTGGGCATTTGTGGTTAACTCTCTCGCTGGTTTCAAGCCCTGTCTGGTGCCCTCTTACCTGTGATGTTCCGTAATTCCTCCTGCACCCTGCTCAAGACCTCCTGGAATCTGTCATGGTCCCGTCTCACCTCAGCCAGCTCCTTCGACATAGTGTGCGTTAGGTTCCTTATGTCTGTCAGGGGAGGCAGGGGGTAGAAAAATGCCAATGGAATCAACAGGTTGATATTTCTGCGCTGGCTCAGACCTTCCTTCACAGCAGCTGGAAATGTGTCCATCCATCTGCAAACACACTCTCTGTCCCCTTTCACAGCCTTTGACCTATCTATGCACCATTGTATTATCAAAGCACCTGTGCTATCCTGGGCTGATTGATTTTCCTTCAAGCTAACTGTTGGATTCAGTAAGGGAATTTTTACCTCAGTAGGCTCACAATAAGGTAGCCCAGGCTCCACGTCTGCATCACGGGCCTCTTCTATGGAAGTCTAAATCCCTAGTCACAGCCCTGACACCAGCATAACTAAGATCAGAACCCGGCTCATGTTTTTACTGGATGGGCCTGAAACCACGCGGGATGAGCATTCCCAAATTCCTTCTGCAGGCCATAGGAGCTGTGTGCTCTCAGCAGCGCTGAGCAAACCAGAGCACCCCACCACCGCCACCACCACTGCCACGTATCTACAGGGTACTGAGACCACAATGCAGCAAAGCACTTAAACACAAAGCCAGTGATTTTCAACCTATTTTCATTTTTGGACCCCTGAACTTTAGAATGGAGGTGAGGACCCCTTTGGAAATCTTGGGCATAGTCTGCGAATCCCAACGGGTCTACGGACCACAGGCAGAAAACCACTGCTCTGAGATGTGTTACACCACACAGTAATCACGAGGCTACAGTTGTTTGACAGCTGCTATTGTGGGTAACAACTTGGGGATTGAACTGGGCTAAAAAAGCAGGAACTACTTCAGCATGAGATAAAGCTGCCGAACCATATCCTAGATCAGCACAGTGGGGGACCTGTCACACGTGCTCACCAATGGGTTACACATGCATAAGTGCCTTTGCTGGATCGGGGTCTGAGTTCCAAAGTTCTGCTGCAGCATGAACTGGGCTCAGGATAAAACCTGGGGTGGCCCTTGGGAGCAGGATGCAGCTGATTCCAAACTAAAATGGGATTATTCATGTAGGGCTCCCGGCTCCATCCTCACACTTCCCCTTTCTCATCCTCCTTCTCT